AGAGTTCCCTTGAAAGTACAAAGATCAGCAACAACACTGAATCCAAAGTCACTTCTTAGCTTGTTTTCAGAGATGATGTCAGTGTCTGGGAGGAAGCTGATTGCCAGATCCAGATCCCATTCCCTAAACTCTTTGCAGCTGCAGGAAAGCCTTTATAGCTTTGCTTAGCTACCATCCTGCTGAAAGCCAACAGCTTTCCAGTGTCTGGCCAGAACAGGCCTCCCCTCCTGGCTGCTCCCTTCGCAATGAACACCCAGCCCGAGATGGGACCTCACACAGGACTTGCTGTTGCCTCATCGCAGTGTTTTGCCCCTCAGCTTGTGAGCTGCAGCACAGGGACCTTACCCTGCAGTAAACAAACAGACACAATGTGGACACAGTTTGGAATTATTTACTTGTGGTGATTTACATTTTGTGCTCTAACAGTAGACACAAAGGCTGAATCTCATGCTCTGTGTTAGTGCTTTGGACTGTGCGTACAATATCGTCTCGACAAACAATATCTGCTCTGTGCAATACACACATTTGGACACCGAAAGACTGAGTAAGCAGAAAAGCCTTCTCATGCTGGAAGGCCATGAAATGCTATTTCACTTTGCTACTATTGTGCAGTTTGATATTACCGACAGAAGAAACAATATAAAGTGTCAAGTATTAGTTTTTGCTCATCATGCTTATCATTCAGCAAATGAACCAAATTTATCTTGAGACTTAGATACACTTCAAAATACATAAAAGATGCTGCCAAAGTTCTGCCCTTCAATCCCATCAAACTTCAAAATGACCTCCTAAAGAATCAAAGATACATGGTCCAAGACACCTTGACTCCCAGATTTAACTAAATGTCATTGTGCTTAACTCAAGCCCTGATACTGATATCATTTTTAGACTATTTCCCACCACACTGCTGTTTGTGCATCATGTGCTTGCCAGGGATGAACAGTTGGACTATAATGCATAGTATGCAACTTGCACCCGTCATGTCTTCATGCTGCAGAGGTGGGAAATTACTGCACAATTTGCCTTTTCAGGTGGCCATCACAGGAATCAAGTAAATAACGTGACTGGCAGATTCCTGCACGCCATTTTGGCAGGGATTGTGTGCAGAATCTCAGATTCACAGACATCTGGAAAATGTAGACAAACCTTAGGCTGCATTTGTAAAGCTCAAATTACAAACTTTTCCATTCTGATAAAAAATTATGACAAATCCTTGCGGAGTTCAAAGTGCTTTTGTTCAGAATTTTGAAAGCCCAATAATGCCTGGGAGTTGAGCCTGAAAGTATTCCCAGCCTTATCCCAGACTTGTTGAAGTGAATTTTCCATTAACTTATGATGTATTTCCTCTTTGCGAAGTTCCCATCATCATTCAAGGATACTTGGGACAAGAACTGAGGGAAATACTTTGTCCATTTACAGGACACCAGCTGCAACCACTGCCCCTTGTAACTGGAGAAAGGTCCAAGGATAGTAATAACAATGGGTTGACTGCTGGACTAGATGACCTTAGTGGTCTTTTCCAACCTTAGTGATTCTCTGTTTCAGGGACTATCAATTATCTGTGGTTTTTTAATCTTTCCTACAGTAGCACAAATTCCCTAGGGTTTTTTTGTTGTTGTTTTTTGTTGCTGCTGTTTTATCTCCACAGCTTGTTTGCTTCCAGCCTTAATGTTTCTTCATGTTAATGGGTTAATAGTAGGTAGAAGGATCAGTGCAACCACTGATTTGCCCTTGGGAAATCTACTGACCTGGCTTCTTGGTCAAACACATTGCTTAAGAACATTAATTGTCATAACTTATTGTCACCTGATATAGAATCATAGAATCATTAAGGTTGGGTAAGACCACTAAGATCATTTAGTCCAACCATAAGTGATGACAGTGGGAATTTTCAGATACTTTTTGTTTATACATGTAATGCTACCATTTCCCACAATAGCTCTATAGTTCATTTGCTCAGACCAATTTAGTTCCTACAATCCATGGGGGGCTGGGGCTCAGGGCGTGCAAGCACTGCCTGATACAGGCAGTTTCATGGCACAAAGGCAGGGCACTGCACAGGCACAGGAATTTGATGACAAACAGCTCCTATTAACAAAGTTCAAAAGGGCCAGGGTTGGGCGTCCCTGCCCCTCCAGTACCACACGTACGCAACATTCCTTCTGCTCATGAGAGCCAGCACCCTTAACTGCATTGCCTTTCCGTCCCCAGAACGGCTCCTGCCTCGTTAAATCAACACCTGGCAGCCTCTTAAGACTGGGCTGAATGCAAAAAGCATTCTTCCCAGGCTAAAATGTCAGACAATAAAAAAGATCCAGTCAGGAGAGATGCATACATTTGTTTCCCGTTTCAATTGCATACAGCAAAGGAAGGAAGAACACCAATGTTTAACTCTGATGACACCATTTTTTGCCTTAAGACTCTTCTGTGGTTAAGTGCCTACATATATCTTTCTCTGCTATAAAAGAGGACATCATTTTTTTCATAGGAAAATCAGATTTCAAGGGGCTATTTCTTAGGTTCTGTAGGATTGCTATCTAATTACAGGGTGTGCCAAAATCACCAGGGGCAGAGGCAGATAATGCTGTTTACAATCAGTCACCAAGATGTTATAAAAGGTTCATTAAAATAAGCAGGAGGCAGAACTAGAGAAGTCTCTTGGCAGCAAGACAAATATTTGGCCCTTCAGGCTCTTCATTGCCAGCCAAATAGCATCATACCATGAAGTTGTTCTTCTTATCATTATACTAAAAGGAAGGAAGAATTGCATTGATGCCAGGAACTATAGGAAGAACAGGCCAATGTGACAATGAATTTTGCACTTAAATGGAAATGATTATTCCAAACCTATAGGCATATCTACAGACAACAGAACACAGAAACTATTAAGAATTCACTATCAACCATTTTTCTGCTACATTTAGTTTAATCAAGCATCCTACGGCTCTTTCTTAATAAAACAAAAATCCATAGAACAAAACAAGAAGTCAATTTTTTTTTCTAATTAAATCTCCCCTAGCCAGTGGAGCAGTATCAGAGATTAAACTGTTAGGTATAAGATTCGGTGGCTTTTTTTGTTGTTTTTTTGTTTGTTTGTTTGGTCAAAGCTGTTTTTATCTCTTTCTTCAAAGTGACCATGCTACTCGCTGCTACACCACCTACAATGAGAGTAGCAATGTAAAGATAGCATTCTTCACTGCTCATTGACCTTGTTGATCTGTTCAGAGTCACAGCATCTCTGAGAGTGGAAGGGACCTCTGGAGATCATCTTGTCCAGTCCCAGCTCTGTTCAAAATAGCATAAACTACAGCAGATTGTCCAACACCATGTCCAATCAGGTTTTGAGTGTCTCCAAGGACCAACCTCTCTTGGAAACTCAATCCACTGTTTAATAATCTTCATGTGAAAAAAAAAAAAAAAAAAAAAAAAAGACAGAGAGATTTCTCTCTCTTTCTCTCTCTCTCTCTCTCTTTCTTTCTTTCTTCCTTTCTTTCTTTCTTTCTTTCTTTCTTTCTTTCTTTCAGTATTTTTCTCTCTCACGTTCACTTACAATTACATGTATTGTGATTTGTGCCCATTGCCACTTATGCTGTCACTGTACACTACTGAGAAGAGTCTGTTTTCATCTTCTTTTCTCCTTTTCCAGATCAGGTACTTACACACATTGTTAAGATTCCCCTCAAGCCTTCTCTTCTCCCGGATAGACGGTGTCAGGTCTCAGCTTCTTCTCATACAAAAGATGCTTATCTCCTGTAATCATCTTCATGGCCCTTTGCTGCACTTGCTCCATTAAATTGAAATCTTTCTTGCCTTGGAAGCCAAGAGCAGAACACATCACTCTAGATCTGCCCTCACTAGTGCTGAGTAGCATCACCCCCACTGACCTGCTGGCAGTGGTTTTCATAATGCAGCCCAAGGCACTGTTGTACTTCTTTGATGCGAAAGCCCACTGCTGGTTTATGTTTGACTCGGTTTCTATCAGGGCCCCAGGTTCTTTACAAAGCTGCTTTCCAGATGGTTGGCCCCAGCCCTGTGGTTGTTCCTCTTCAGTTGCAAGACTCTACATTTCATTTTATTGAGTATTCTTGTCAGTCCATGTCTCCAGCCTGTTCACATTCGTCTGGAAAGCAGTGCAAGCACTTTGTGTATCAACCACTACCAAGAGGATACTCAGTTTTGTATCCTCTGCAAACTTGCTTAAGGTATACTCTGTCCCGTCATCCAGGCCAATAATGAAGATCTCAAACAGAGATGGCCCAAATACCAGCCACAGTCATTACTAGTTAGTGGCTTCTAGCTGAACTTCTCTCCTCTGTTCACAAACTTCTGTGCCATGTCACTTCAGCCAATTTTCAGAGACTGGTTCTGGTTGTTTCCCCTTTCAGGGTGGTAGGTTGTTTCCTACCACCCTTTACAGGGTGGTAGCCTTCACCTGACAACTAACTAGACTTGTTTGGCTAAATCAGCAAAATGGGATGTATTCTAGATAAAGCCCAGTGTCATATGTTTAATATTTTGAATTAAACAGAGGATCAAACTGACCCTGCAAAAAAATGAAGTTCTCAGAGTTTTTCAGTGCTACAAAACATAGGATTCTGTTTTCAGACTTCTGGATGTCTTGTCCCCGTGCAAGTCCCTCAAAGCTGTGTCTACTACTTGAAATAAAGCAGTATAACAAGCAGTGTGCTTATGAGATCATAACATCATTGCTGGCAATGCCAGCTTTTCAGTCCATCCAGACACTAAAAGAACAGTAAACAGCAACATTTAAGCCACGTCAGATCTTGAAAGTGCACACAAAAAAAAAGCTCTAGAGAGTATGTCTGGTCAGTGAATTCCTTCTGTCTGGAAGTGATGAAATACATGGCTGTTTGGAAGGGTTTTCTTCAAGTAATGCAGGTATGAGTATTGGGTGTGAAAGTTAACTTCAAACCAAAACCATCAATCAAATGTTAATGTATGAAATGATCTCACTTCTTTTGTATAGATGCTGCCTGGAATACAATTACTGTATTTGAAACTTTTTCAGATCAGAAATTCCTAAACAGAAAAGAATGTCAATAAGCAGAAGGATTTGGTCCAAGTTTTTGGAGGTAATGTCAGTAATAACCTGTTGTCCATGTTTAGGGTTTTCATGGGTGATGTAGAAAGATAGAAGAGATAGGTCATTTCTTAAAGGATTCTGAAACTTCCATGCTTTCAACAGTTTTCATGAACCCTAAAGGTAAGGTATCAAACACTCTAATAAACAAAAGTGGAGAAAAATATTTGACTTCTTGTTTGGCAGTGTTTGCTTCAAAGACTACACTGGGTGGTATTATAACTGTCTCTCTTCTTCCTCTATTCCTTCTCTACTTCTAGATATCCATCTAATGCGTGTTCATCTATGTTTCCACCTTGCTTCTCTTTCTCTTCCATACTACTGCTTTGGGTTAGAAGACAGCATTTATTTTTTGATCTTCATTTCTCACAATCTTATAAAGCATTATGAAAAACAGTGACTGGCAAAATGACTGCTGCGTGTTATGGAGCCAGTCCCCACCAGGGAACTTGGGTGAACGTGCCGGATGCCAAGGAGCAGCTCAGATTTCTGTGATCTCTCTGATCCCTTCAGCTTCTCTGCAGAAACTGGGAACTCTAGGAAATGACAGTGGGCAGGCTGACAAAAGTAATTCAAATCACCCTGACAGCCAAACCCTTTATTTGAGAGAACCACTTGATTGGGTGAGTGATTGTCCTCTAAGTACATTTTCCAAACAGTTTCCTTTGGCAATCAGAGCAGGTGGCCTGAGAAGAATGCTGTACTGGGCCACTTGGTGGGATGGGAAAGTGGAAGGTGAAATGCAGCTTATTTCCCCATGCTCAGAGGCTTGGTGGAAATCTGGTTGGCAGTAGTCATAGCGTGCCTACTTGTGGAGCTGATGCCACATGGCAATCTGCCTTCTGGGGTTCCTCAGCATTTCTTCCCAGTGGTTCCTCTCTGTGCCTGTGACGTGCAAACCCAGGCTGCACTTGCCGAGCACTTGGCTTTGCCCAGCACCATCCTGGCTCAGAATTTCCAGCTCCACACTAGAGGCACGTAGCAGCTCGTGAGGCACCTCAAACATGATCATCTCATTCCAGACAGGGTTGATCTTGTGCTTTGCACGTTTGGTCTGCTTCTTCTTCAGCTTCAAGGACTGATGCCTCAGGGTCACCTTGACGGAAACGTCTACAAAGAAATCAGAGAGGCTGTATTAATGAACATTTAATAAAATGAATGCCAGAGAACTTTAACTATTGACAACAAGCTGAGTAAGAGAATATGAGAAACATTGATTTGGGGGTTTTTAGCTTTCCCTTTTTAAAAATTGTTCAAACGTCTTCAGCTTTCTAAGTCAACTGTTTGGGTTTTTTTTTCTAGCAAATACCATATTTACCACTTTCTTTCTATATTTACTTCATAGCAGAAAGAATAATCTCAGTTTTTCTTGCTATTCCACTCACCATTTCCAAGTAGATCTTTCAGCTGTTTGGAATGGAGATTTTTAGCCTTAATAATCACCACGAGCAGGCGGTTTGCAGCTGGCAGATAGCTGATAGAGAGCAGAACTTCCCCATGGCCTGTAGATGGCTCCTGGAAATTGAGATGTATAAAGAGTTAATTTTGTATGCAATCTAGGTCTAACATTAGGAAAACTAAATAACACAAGGAGATGAATTTAAGGTCATAGGCTGATCAAACTGTCTCCCCGTCTCAGTACAGGAGACTTTTCCAGTTAAACTGGATCAGATCAAACCAGGCAGCATAGTCAAGTGACCTTGTTCACTCACAGGGACCAGAACACAATGATTACTCCTTTCTTTTGCTACTGGAAAGCAATTGAGGGAAATTTAGGTTAGACGTTAGGATGAAATTCTTTATTCAAAGTGTGGTGAGGCACTGGTACAGACTGTCCAGTGAAGCTGTGGATGCCCCTTTCCTGGAGATGGATGGGGCCCTGGGCAGCCTAAGCTGGTGGGTGACAGCATTGCCCATGGCAAGGGGTTGGAACTGAGTGGGCTTTGAGGTCCTTTCCAACTGAAGCCTTTCTATGATTCCATGAACTGCATCCTAACAGCTATTTGGAATATTTAATCAGAAGAGAATTTGGGGCTGAACTCTGTGTAAGTATTCCGTCATTTTGTGAGAGACTATCTAGCTGTCCTTGATTTATATCCCCTACTTCCATTACTGCTCTTTTTAATTCACTCATCACTTCTGTGAGGGGTCTCTGACCAGACGTGGTCCCAGGTCTCCACTGCTTAACTGTCAGGCTGGCTGGGAAAGAGTAGGTGATGCCTTGGCTTGTGCCACCCAGCTACCCTGGAGCTAGTATTGAACCTTCTTTGTCAACCTTATCTATTGGTAGAAAAAACAACAGCCAACCTAAAACCCTCATCAGCTCAGCACAGTGCTCTACTCTTCATCTATCCTGGCTTCCCTGCAGTCTGTGTACAGCTATCCCTGTTGCCCCAGTGTGATTAACCTCGGGGCAAATGCTCTGAAAAATCAAGCATTCACTTCACGGGGCCATATGTATTTTGGTTTGGGGTTCTTTGATTCCTTTGTTCCCATTAGCAATTGTCCTCATATCCTCCTGACCTTTGCTCCGCTCTCTCACTTGCTCTGTACAAATATCCTTGAAGGCAGAAAAAGAGGAAAATGACCTCTTGTCAGCTGAGCTTGCCTTGGAAAGCAGCACCTCTGCCATGTGAGGAAGGAAAGGAATTGCCCGCCGTGCTTGCAGAGCTGCAAGCCTATGGCGAGAGAGAGAGGGATGTAGTTACTCTCCATAAGTGCAAGATTGTGACAGAAATCTGTTTTAGTGTGAGGTTAATGACCCAGAAGAGACACAGAAGCCAATGTCAATTCAATGGACTCCCTTTGGACTCCTTAGTGTGATCTACAAGCTTTAGGACAGACGGCCTTCCTCTAGGCCATTTCTGTGCTCTCCACTTGCAGTTCTAAGTGAGCCATAAATATTTCAAATTAAGTTTTCACCGGGTTACTTCCAACAGGCAAGGACAAGCCCTCTGTATGCTTCCCGTGAGGTGACTGACTCTCCAGAAAGCACGGCTGTCATCACTGTCTGGTTTGAATGACTTATTTGTCGTGCACAACTCAGGTGGGAGGCCATTAGCAAGGAAGCCTGAAATTCAATCCCAGATCAGTCCGAGTAAATCTTCCTTCATGCACTCAGGTAGCAACAAAGGGCTTGTATATGTTTCATTTAAATAAATCCTGCCCTAAATGCAAGTACATCTTAAGAAAGAAACACAAAAAGAGGCAGATTTAAATGGCTGTGTGTCCCTGACAAATACAAATATCACTTTAATACAAAACCATAGTTTTGGCAAGCTGTGAACTGCTTTTGTTTACATATCCACCCTGTTTCTCACAAAGTCTCACTCTGTAGCTCTTGGCTAGAAGCTGGTTGCTCTAGCTTCATGCATAGGCAAATGTTGTAAAGGCTGAGAGGCTGGGTGCTGCAGTGGGCTGTAAATGCACATACACTCACGTGCACATGTACTCACTGTGCACACACGACACATGTTGTACTCATGGCTTTTTGGCCTCTAATATGGAGTTCTTGACCACCCTGTATCCACATGAAACCAAAACTGTAATGGTTGGTTTCTGCTGGAGATTTGCATGAAGAGTCTGAGCCAAAGGTTCTTTTCCTTCTCCCTCTTTCTGTGCACTGAGGATAAGAGGCATCAGGGGGTCAGTGGCGAGTTACTGTGCAGAGCACCATGAAATCACAAAAGGAAAGGTGCTATGCAAGCAACCACTATCATCACTGTCATTAGCAAAGCAGTGGGAGGGAAGGAAGACAAGATAAGGACATCAGTCTGCAATATCTGTGATTTGCATTGCTCACAGCACTCTGTGAATTCCTGAATACTAATTACATTACCTGGTTAGCTGCAAGCTCCCCTCTGAGCTCTTTCCCTTGTGTGGGAGAATTACCAAGAGGATAGGAATGAAACTTCTGCGGCTCACAGCTTTTCAAGGAAATGTCAGACTTTAAACAAAGCCCACTAACTTTGTTCCTGGATGGATGCTGTCAAAAATAGCTGCTCTTTTTTGATCAGCTCTTCCTCACTGCCTCCCGCTCTGGTTCTGAATGAATGATTCAGGATCTGTATATAAGATATCTGTGCAAGGGTTGGCTCTCTCAGGTCCCAGATGACGCAAATTCAGCTTTCACTGCACATCCTCAGCTCAAACTGGGGCAGTACAGTTCAGTTAACCTTGCACTGTCAGCCTGGAGTAGAAATAAGTGCTGTCCTGTTTCTGTGTGAACCAAGAGTACTCAGTATGCCAGCACTCTGCCAGGTGTACATGAGTGTAAACCAACCATTGCTGTGAACTGGTTGCTAAATGAGTATTGTTTATAGAGTGGATATTACAGTAGACTGGGGAGGATGGAGGGCTCTATTTATCATGGTTTAGGGATTTATGTAATTATGACTTACATGAGAATAATTTCTTTTGGACCTCCATTTTTTTTTCAGCAGCAAAAATTGCCAGATCTTCTGCCCTTCTCTCAGCCAGAGGTTTTTCTTTGGTGTAGAGTAGGTTGCTATCAAGTGCCCTACCCACACCCAGCTCTGCAGAGGAGACACAACCTAGCAGCTGAACTTTTGCTACCACAGTCCCTGCATTGTTTACACACAGAAACGCACGTAACTTCCAGACATAGGCTTTCAATTGCAGATATCAGTGTCAGATTATCATGTAATTGAGGGAGGAGGAAAGGGAGTTTTGACACAGCTTAAATTCCAGGAGCTGTAGATGAAGGGGCTGGGCTGATGGGCTTTTGATTGTTTTCTGAAATGGTTAGGTCAATACAGAGTTCTACTACATCACCTTTGTGATCACACATTGCCTTTCCAAACTGGGGTGCAGATGCACGGAGCCACCCACCCATGGATGTGCAGCTGTATTGGAAGAGGGCTTCTCTTGTCCAGACAATAACTAGAGCCTCTGACTAGCGACAAAGACTGAGCCCATACCTTCTCTGGGGTCTTCAGCCTTTCCCACTGGGCCATCCCGAAGTCCTCCATGTTAGCAAGGGTCAGTTTGAGTTCCCCCACAATGCTGTGTCTGGAGAACTTGTCGCAGTTTCTCAAGGTGAGAGTCAGTGTCCCCTCTTGCATCTCCTCCTCAGTTAATGGAAACCTCAGGGCCTCCTCCCAGAGGGTGTGAAGCACCTTCTTCTTCAGCTCTGTCTGGGCTTCAGTCATGCCAGATTTGCTCACCAGTGTGCCCAATACATAGCAATGGCAGCCAGCATCTTGGTCACTACTCATTTTGCCATACATAGCTAGAAAGGAAAGATTGACTGTAAATACCTTTCAAAAAAGGATAGTCCTGAAGAAATCCAAGTAGAGAACCATCAGTAGCAGATTTCCGCCTCTTACCTTCCAGAAGGGCCACACACAGCTCAGCTTTTTGTTGATCATACGTGAGGGAATAGCGCAGTTCAGGGACCTGGTTACAGCTGGCTGCCCGCTCGGGCTTCAAGTGCTCCGTGACACACACATCCTTTACCACACCTGGAACTGAAGTAACCCCATTAGCTAGGAAGTCTTTTCCTTCCAGGATAGACAAATCCACCTTGTCTTAACTCTTCTAAACGGCTTACTATTCTTGCAATTTGTACGCAGGAATATCACTTCTGTTCCTTTTCCCCTCATCGTATCTCCTTCTTGCTGCCTTCTCACACACATTCAATTCCTTCTTGGACAAGCTTCCTGCTCCCTCCACCACCACGTGTTCTAAGGTGGTTCACACATTTGCTCTTTCACCTTGTGCCAAAGCCAAGGTGCCTAAACTATTTGCTTGTTACTATATTGTTTTATATACATTTTTTACACGTTTGTGTAAAAAACCCTTGTGATTTTTTTTAAATGAGAATTTGAGTCTGCTTCAGAGTTTCCATGCAACTCTGCATTAATTCAGGCCTCTATAACCTTTTTAAAATTTATTTTAACACTACAGTCTTTGTCATGCAGAAAGCCAATGTGACATCTATTCCCATAGCACTTGACCATATTGAGAATAGTGAGCTTGGGAAGGTGTGAGGCAGTTTCTTCACGTATGATTTTGCAGCTGAGTACACATTCCATACTGAAATAAAGTAAGAAGCAAGACTAAAAGAGAAGCCACATCTTTCTATCATCAAAATCTCTTATCTGCAAGGTCAGTTCTTACTCATATAGAAAATAATAGAGGGATATGCACATTTCCTCCAAAAAATCTCAGCCACAGTTCCAATCAGTTCAGTGTGTCACCAAAAGGAGAATGCAACAAGTCTTGCTTTATTTCAGCAATATGAAATCAGGCGTAGCAGAAAGCAGACTTGTGCCACTAGCAGTGCAGAGGGGCTCTTACACCAACACACTTATGTAGAGCTTTAGCCTACATGCTGCCAACATCTTTTAGGCTCTACACCCTATGACTGTCTTCCTGACATCCAGGGATATGTCTCAGACAGTTTTTTCCTCTAATGCAACTGCTTTCTATGTGTAGCAGAAATGCTAAGTCAGGGCCTGAACCAGTGATTGAGCACCTGGTGGGAAGGCAGGGCCAACCCAGGGGAGCTCAGGTGCATGTAGTGTGCCTGAGTGACTGGAAGGGCTGGAGCCAGGATCCACCCCTTCCCAGACCTCATTTAAGTGTTGGCAGTGGAAGAATGGGTGTCTTCCTGGAGATCCCTGCCTATCTGAGGTCTTCTAAAGGTAAGCAGGCTTTCTTCTTTCATTTCTGTATCTGCAGGTGTTATGTTTGGGTTTGTTCCCTTTTGCTGCAGTCTAAGATTTTGCTATCCTTCTATTGTTGTTGTACTTTTCATCGCAGTATAGCATTACACCGTGGTACTCCTTAGTTTTCTGTGCTTGCAGGTTTTAGGTGGAGGGGCTTTAAGTAATTTATGTGACACCTGTCCTCCCTTAAGGACAAAAATACAGTCAGAGGCAACATAAATAGAAAGAGCTCAAAAAAAAAAAGTCATGATAGATGGTGCTGTGTCTCTGGCAAATCATCAGGAAGGCTTCATTAATATGGCAACATAGTAACCATAAGAGTCAATTATGGTGTTAAAATGACAGCTATGGAGGTAAAAATCATTATGGAAGTAACCCAGCTATGCTGCCAGATATATATAATTAATATTACATTTTTCTCTTAGGCTCCAGGAGCCTTATGTTCTAGGCTTTAGCTAGCTACCTTTTAGACTGACTGAAAAACAAGAATGCTGTTTAGCAAAAAAAAAAAAAAAAAAAAAAAAAAAGTCTTGAGGTGTCAGCCTTTAGTTTCACTTCACATTACAACAAACCAAGACCATCTCATGGAACTGGTGGAATAAAGAAGCAGGGAAAATAAAGTAGAAACTTGAACTCATTCCACTGATGTCCCTGATATAGGCTGTTGCTGGACAGCTAGCAGTCTTTCTGGAGGAGCAGTACTGCCTAGTTTTGACCAGGTATTCCACCCATATTGTGGCAACAGCTCTTGGTAGAACTTCACACTGAATACATGCTTTTCAACATAAAACCTGCTTCTCAAGAGCTAGATTCTTCATCAACAAAGTGTTTAGATTAAAAAAAAAAAAAATACAACCAGTTGCAATTATGGATTTGTGGATTTGTAATCTAAATTTCCTGATGTACTCCTTGATTACTTAATATTAAACACGTGCATTTTAAAAAAGAGTTCACAATAGTCATGATAGGAGAGTGAAAAGCACTCAGTGTCTTCATTTCCATGTTTATTACTTTAACTACCATCACATAATGTTCAAAAGTATTGAAGTTCTACACCCTGGAAAGAAATCTTTAGTCTGATAGTCTGAAGACCAAATGTTCCTACCGTTTTGAGGGAGAATGAACAATTCTTCATTTACTTGTATCTTCATCCTGTTCTCCTCCAAAACAGCGCGTTTTACAGTGGCTGGTTCTTCTGTTGTCTTCAAGGAGTATTGTGTGTAGTTAACAACTTCAGGTGAAGTTACAACAGGTTTGGGGCCATAAATGTTAGGAAACTTCAGGAGAGCTCGAGGCTGGACTGGCTCTGCAGTTTTCTTAACATTGAACTGAAAATTTAAGACAGTATTTATTATTTTTTCTTTTGAATCTCTCTATGTCAAATGAGCTGATACAAAGGGAGATAAGATGGTGTCCCTGGTCATTCTTGCTGCCATTGTTTCTTGAGTTAGAGAAACCACTGCTTTCCTATATGTCAAAAGATTTTCTTGCCAAATCTGTCTATTAGGTGTATGTCTTTTTGATTAAGAGTTTACCATTACCTCTGATTTATACAACATTTCAAGTAGACTTGTAGAAAGCATTAGGAAGGCAAAGGCATGGGACACACATAGCGTGTATAGCAGTCATGTAAAAAGACGAAGGAGAAATGGTTGAGCAGACCAGCCCTGCAACAGCATGCCAAGAATAGTAGAGTCAGTGGTCTATCAGTCTCTGGGATTATCTGTTGTCTCTGAGGACCAGAGTTCTGTCTAATCCTTAGAAACACATTACTCCTTTATTATATGGGGACTGACGTTTTGTTTGAGTTTGTTCTTACGAATTTCTCTGCTGGTTGCTGAACGTGGTATCAACAGAAGAATTTGAAAAATGGTGTAATGCCCTGGCAGGCTGGGCAGAGGTTGACACAGAATTATATTCTCTCCCAACAACGAAAAATATTTTAGTGGAATGTAACAGTCATCTTTTCTTCATATCTCAAGAAAGAATCCCATATGCTCACAACTGAAGTAATTTCTTATTCATTTATATTTGGATTCATCAACAGGAAAGAACAAAAGCTGACTAGGAAATGAGGCTCAGCCTCTCATTAGATTTTGTTGATATTTCCAAAGTATGTAAAAGAAAAAGCGGAAGTAAGACTGCTATTTTGTTTGATTATTGTGCATTGGGATTCTCTCCAACCCCACTGCCTGCCAACCTATTCTATGTTCAGTGTAGAATGAAGGTGAGCCAAAAAGTATTCATAACTGTAATTAAAGTTTTTCATTAGTGTCATTGTTTCCTATTAATAAAGAATGTAGATGATGCCCTGAAGCATTTGTCTGTGTTGGGACTGTGTGGTCCCAGTTTGTGTGTCCTGAGGGAGATTAGCTATTCCTCAATAAGTAGAGCTGAAGAAAGAGTAGTCTTGGTCTCTAGATATCTCTAGTCAATATTCTGTGTTTGGGTATCATAGCACTGCAGTTACGTGGATTTGGCAGTGATAAAGAGCTAATTAGGTCATTCACTCCATCTTATCAAGGCAACTGGTGCACTGATGTTTAGGAAGTCACTATATAACAGCATTTTCTCTTATCTAATTTTAAGGACACTGAAACAGGAGTGAGTTGAAAAAGAACCACATCACTGTGTGCAGATACCCACCCAGCATTCAGCTGAGTTTAGGTATTATGTAAATCATATAGTGCTGGTTTATAATAGTGATGTAGTGAGATCCCTCTGTCAGAGATGTGAGTCTCATCAGTCCTAAAATACATAGGAAGTTTGAAGTAACTTATCAAAGTTTTCCATTCTTCAGATCTAAGACCGATCAACCAAAATATGTTAGAAAGTACTAGACAATAGCTTGAAGAAACAGGATATCTTTGTTCTGCAAGGACTTTAAACACTCATACCGCATGTGCAACAGCTACTGCCTGTTCTTTCTCTCTTGACCCTGCTGTATGAGGCTGCTGTTCTAGCCATCACACCACAGCAGCAAGCCTGGGTGCTATGTGCATCTCATGTATGAAGCACTCTGGAATCCTTTGGGATGAAAAATACTGGACTAACTTGAGGTATTGTTAGTACAATCTTCTCCTTCTCTTGCTAAAAGGAAGTCAGGAAATCCATCAGCACACTGCAACTAAGAGCTCCACTGGGTCTAAATATTCTAGTCTGTCTGCTCAGTAGAATTAGAGATGAGAGACATATGTGAGCACAGTGGGACTTGCCCACCCCCTCTTCCAACTGCATCTGCCTCTGTTTATTATTTTTGCTGCCAGCTCTGTTCCCAAGTGCTGTCTGTAAGCTACTTGCAGAGCTGTGCCCTATGGAAGTTCTCTTTGCAGCAGCAGTACCTTAAATACAGAAGAATTCAGATAGTTCTGCATAAAATGTGTGAAAGCAAAGAAACCAAAATAAGCTGGGAGGCTTCAGCTGACCCTTCTTTGTCTGGCAGTATTGACATTCAGACAACACACCAGATTGTTGCCACTGCTGGATGTGTTTAGGCATTTTAAGCTGCACCCTTTGCTGACATTTTGCACATCTACAGCAGTTATTAATTGTTCTGTGGATGTATCTTTGTGTTTGAACTCTTCCTTCTCAAGTATGCAGGGCATGTCCATGGGGAGCCTCTGTCTATAACAAATACAAGCATCAGTGTCATGGGAGACATGCCAAGTAAATAAAATACAGACTTGCTTCATCTTTCTATTGTCATTTCTGTTTATCAGAATCAGTGGCCCTGACAAGCTTCAGTAATTAAGTATGCCAAACACTTACTAGGATATACAGTGCTTTAATGCAGTTGGAAAAGAGTCCCAACAGGGCAATTCACATAGATGCAGAGGATGTAACTAAGGCACAAGCTCAGAACTCAATTTGAGATTTATTCCTTCAAGGAAAGAAGGCTAATTCCGCTTCAGTGAAAGCACGGGAGAATGCATGTGCCTGGCAACCAAACTGTTTAAATTGGAAAGAATTGTTAAAGATAGAGAATATGCAAACTACGAACATTTTGCTCTTTCTGTCACAGAATGTTCATTTGGCTGCAATAGTTTGTCCAGATTTCTCAAAGAAAAAAAGAAAAGGTCTATAATGCTAAAAACATCATGTCATTTGGATAAGAGTGATACACTGAGGATAGGTTGAATAATTTGATGTATTAATCAAACATTGAATGATGTTGTGGCAAGACCTGATGTAGAAATGTTGTGAGGACTATAACCCATGAAATGCTGGGTACCAGGGTCTTAATTGTATCTGGGGCCATGGTTGGACTTCTTGGTGACTTACTGGTATTTCACTCATGCAAGAAGGATGACACCTTGAAGGACAAGCTCCAGAGTTTATTAATGCTTTCCCAAAATATTTCACGAAAGGCTGTGTAAAATAAGATACCCATTCCAAAAATGAAGTTCAAGTAATGATTTGAGAGGTTTTTGAGATTTAAAAAAAAAAAAGGCAACAACAACAGATCTTTCGTACGAAGAGATTAGGAAAAAAATGCTATGCAAAGTGATGACTGTCAAAGATCCACACTTCTCATTCACTTTAACAGCAAATGTCAAAAATCTCGATGTTATTGCACATCCTCTTATACAGAAGTTGTATGGGTTAGACAAGAAAGGAGATTGGTGGAGACTTGACAGACTATCAAAGAAAGCAGATAGCAGCTGAAATTCATCTTAGGAAAATGCAAGCCAATACTAGAAGGTGTTGACCACACTTGTGGAAGAATGGTCAGAATTAGCAGGAATCTCTGGAGAAGTCCTAAGCTTGGTGCAGGTGTTCATTCACTCATGGTCAGTGGAGCCTCCTCCCATCCTCCAGCAACTAGAAGCTATTGTGATGCTATTCTGCATCATATGTTACAATACAACTCATAGATATGGTCATCCTTCCTCAGAATAATCTGTAACAGGAGAATGGGTGAAGCTCTTTACTGAGAGCTGAAGAGCAGTGCCCAGAGAGAGACTGAATATATAATTATACATATTAAGAGAAGTTCAGCCAGGACTCCTGCTACTCTCTTTAGTACAAAAATAATAGGCAGTTCAGATCATTAAAAGGCAAATGAAGACTCTTATACAGTGGATCACCAGCCTTTGGACTCTGTGCCATAACATTTGGCTGGACAGCCAGGTGGAAGTGACGTGGGCTTAGGCACATATAAGCCTCAAGAGCAACAGCCAACAGGTAATACTTCCAGAGACTGATGGGTTGCTATAGCTCATGCTGACGACTGTAATCAACAAAAGAAATCAGTCAAACACTTCCCTTTGGAGAAGAGCTTCCCATTAATAAGTGTACTAGAAGGGTCCTATAATTCCCATTGCGCTCTCTTGCACTGGTGTCAGGAATGAATTAAGGGATATTCTGGTTTCTAAAAAGAAAGAAGACTCATGCAAGGATGCCTGATGTTACCAGTAACAGAGGAATCCACAGCATGCTGCGATTGTTCAGTCATCACAACACAGACTCTCACTAGCATTTTCATTATCGCTTCAGTGCCTGGTTTTAACTTCACAAATATTAATCCTCCCTGCTCCCCCCCGCCCCATTAGAGGGGCAGAGGGAGGAAGAGGGATGATTTTCACAGGAAACCAGCTGTTGAGAGGGAACTATCCTGCAGGAACCATAAGACACTGTGAACAGAGCTAGATAAATAGCTGTTACAGGAGATCCCAGCAGGAGTCTTGTCTTTATAATGCTGTGTGCCACCTGGTAAAGTCCAGTCTCCTGTCCTCAGGAAATGATTTCCCAGACAGACAGCTGAGCAGCCTTTTCAGACCTCCTCCCCTATTTTTACCATTAGCAGCCTTTTCTTTGGCAGTGTGGCAGCTGTCTGCTGCTCTGGTAATTCTGTGGGTCGCCCAGCTCTCATCTCTGTTCTCCTCAGTTTTCCTCCCATTAACATGATGTTACATCCTGAACACAGTAAGCAGATAAATAGGCAGCATAAACCACATGCTGAACAGCTTAATAGAAAAGTTGCATTCCCCCCCTCAGCATTTAAAGAAAAATCATAGAGTGAGAGATGGTGTCTTACTTGCTGGGCTGGTTGAAGCACACTGGGCTTAGTATTTTCCGTGTCCTCATCTTGGTCCTTTTCTGAGAGTCCTTTCCCAGGTTGCTTGCATTTGCAGAGGCAGGTGAGACCACAGAGGGCAAGGATGCTAGTTGCAGTCCCTAAGGTAGCCCCAAGGGCAATAATTGGGGCAGACAAAACCATTGTCCTGAGCTGCACGGGAACAAAAAGCAATGAAAACCTGTGACTCCTTTTCCTCCCTGGGAGAGCAGCTGTTTTACATTCACTCCGTTTTCTAGCCTGGCTTCATTCTCCTTGGAAGTCTGAAAACAATTCTTTTGTGCAGCAAAGAAAAGGGACCAATCTAGAGACAGAGATAAATCATCCCACCTTTGCTAGGCAACAAGGTTCCCTTTCTATCCTGATAATGATGTTTCTGCTCCAGGTCAGGTAGAGAAAGTAGTGCTTGTGGTGGCTGTAATATCCATATAGCTGCAAACAGGCAGTTTTCATTGAAGCCTGTTCTCCAGCTCCACTGGGAAAAGTCTGATGTGTGATAGAGAGGAAAGACGTCAGCAGAAGGGGCTGGGCCTTGTTAGCTAGCTCACAGAAAGAGCATCCAAATATTTGATCAGCTCTCCAGCTGTCTTTCTGAGGGCTAGCCTGCTCATTTGCTCAAGAGGTTGAGGCTTTTCTATTTTAACATAAAGATAGTGGTTGTCAGAAGTGCTGGCCTGAGTCCCCTGGTTATGATATGCATAAGAACACTACAGTCAGAACAAAGCCTGCGTCAGGCAAAACTTCACCTTTCTTCAAAGGGTGGGGAATGGATGTTTGCAAGGGTTAAACACCCACACCTCCCTTTCTTCCCCTCAGAGTGCAGGTCTGCACCTTTCAGAGCTGCTTTCTCCAGCATTAGTGCAGATCAGCATTCCTGTTCAAAAAGACAGCAGAAAATCTTATCAAACAAGGCACACTGATGCATATGCTTTTTCCTCTGGAGAGAATGAGAGAGCAAACAGCATATGCTGAGTATTATTCACACTGCTTACTACACCAGTGTCAGGCAGTGAGCCAATGAGCACAGTGAAAGAATCCACTTGAATAGACCTGAAGGGCCACACAGTTCTCTCAGACTTCCTTTGACTCATTTATTTTTGCCTTCTTTCTCAGAATGCTCAAGTTGGAGGAGAGGAAAATCAATTCCATTTCTCAATGTGTTTCTTGTGGCACAAGTAACTGTTTCCTGGGGCACTTCACAAGGAGTACCCAGTGGCCTGAAGATGGTTGTAATTCTGGGTCAGTATGTAACTGGGCCAGAGTGAAACTAGTAAGCAAGGTGCCAAATGTTCCTTATGTGGATCTGGAAAAAGTAGCCAGATCTATTTCCTTTGTCCTTCTATTTTGGAATAAAGCTTCTGTCCGTGGATTGGGAAGAAGAGTAAACTCTATATATATAACTGTTCAGAAAAATATATATATATTTCTGTAGCTCAAGTTTTTACATGTTTTTTTTAACTTTTTTTAGTTCTTTTACTCATTTATCATGACCACTCACCTTTGTTCAATTGCAGATGACATGTTCACCTCCCTCCCACAAAGCTTCCCTCACACATCCAACTCACATTTTAATTGGTAAAGACTTCTCCTTAACACTGCACATTCTATCATCTTGCTGCCTGCTCACTCAACAAGGTTGTCCAGATGCAAGCCTCGACCCCTTCTTTTCAACTCCCTTAGTTCCTTTCAAGAAGAGGATTGTGATCTCTTATCCAGACACAATTCCTTGATATACTTCTGAGCCCATGGAAACAGACTTTTCCAGCTCTACACACAGAAGGAAAATCTAGGGTGTTGTCTTCTGCATATACAAGAACATAAAGGTGACCAAACCAGGCTGGGTCACTGACATATCTCAGTAGTGAGAAGAACACCGCATTCAAACAGTTTAATAAACACTTTCTTCCTGTGGCTCAGGAGCTTTTAGTGCCTTGAACACATCCTCGTGCTTTACTGATCTGATCTTTATATGACTCAGGCAGAATTTTGCAACATTTTCTTACTTAGCAAATACACGCAGGTACTTCATTCATCCCATAGTTGAAGTGGTAACATTGTAATCAGAGTGCCAGGAGGCCTTACCTTGAAGTGGAAGGTAATTTTTGAATATTAGGAAAATTTTCTTCTCAGAAGGAGAGGTGATGTGTTGGAACAGGCTGCCCAGGGAGGTGGTGGAGTTGTCATCCTTGGAGGTGTTCAAGAAACATGTAGATGTGGCACTGAGGGACATGGTCTAAAGCAGTAACAGGCATGGGCTGATCGTTGGACTGGATAATCTTACTGGTCTTTCCAACCTTAATGATTCTATGCTACTATGGTTCTGTGAATTTGCCATGTTGTCAGGGTCTTTCATTCTTTCATCACTGCTGAAAGGAGATAGGAGAGGGGAGAATCTGAAAGAGAACAAAAAGGACAGGATGCAGTGTTTATAATGCCTTTGATTTCCTCCACTGAAGAGGTGCTTTTTAAGGGTGCTAATGGAATCTGAGACAGCTAAACCAGAGGTCCATGACATTTGGAAATCATAAAGAAAGGAAGAAGACATTGTTAAGGGTAGAACACGCTGACAGAGATCTGGAGCGGAGAAGGCATTCAGCCCATCCATGAGATGCAATTTTCATGTGTTTGCTACAAGCTGTTCTGAGAATTGCATAAAAACTGCTTACAACAGGCTGTGGAAAGAAGGGCAGATAAAAATCTGTCTGCAAAAAGTAGCTTAATAATACATATCTCCAAGATGTTTTCTAGTGGCTCATACATGAAGATTAGGTTTTCATTGCCAGAAATGTCATACACTGTGAAATGTAAAATGTACAGAAGATACTGTATTTTAATAATAACAGCAATGCAGCAACCTTTTGCTGCTATTGCTAGGAAAGCAGAACAACTCCTGCTAAACAGAGGATATTAGCAGTATGTGAGCTTCTACAAGCAGCAGGCTAAAGACTGCAGAATTTTCTGGGTGTACTGATGCATATAACTGGTACAGATACATAATTCAGTTAGCTTTGGCACACCCAGTCACTGCGTCTATCTATAAAGGTTGCTTATTTTCAGCACATCCTGTTCTAAAAAAAAAAGTGGGCCATCAACATATTTCAAAGTCAGGTTTGCACTTGCTACTTGTTTCAATACCAAATAATACAGTCTCTCCTTTTTCTTTAAGGCAGTCATAAGCTAAAGGGAGGCCAGCATAACAACCTTCCTTACTGGACAGTCACATTTCAGTTGTGCAGAATCACATGGATTTGTTGTTTTTTTTTGGTCTGTCATATCTACCTTTGGTAATAGACTTTCATCTTTCCACATTAGTAAGCCTGTATTTGCAAGCTAAACATTACGGGCAGGTTCAGGCCTGAAAACACATTTTACAGTCTTTCTAATTATGTATTTTCTGGTACAGGAATACACATAAGAATGACAAAAGCATATACATGATTATAAGATGAACTCCAGCATATGACACATTTCAACTATTAGGATTTGCTTTGGCTAGATTTATTAATACCGCCAAAGAGATGTAAGACAAGGAAAAAGAAGTTCAAGCCTTGAACAATGGCCAGTTGTCTATCTTTATAGGCAAAGAAAAACGTGGCTTTTATTAATAGAGACATCATTCCATTTTACCTCCTTTGGGCAAGGAAGGAATGCAGTAGGAGTGGTGGGTCCCACCTTCTACCCTGAGCACTACAGAATTTCCACTCTTCTCTTTGCTAGCAGTTGTTGGAGTCCTGTCAGCTCTGGGATCGTGCTGTGGGATTGATAGTTTTGTTGTTGATTTTTACAACCTCGTATAATTTCCAGAACCAAGTGAGAGGTAAAATGCCTAAGGCCAACATCAGTGCTGCAGATCTGCTCAAAGTCTGAGTTTCTGTGCTGATATTACATTAGAAGAAAACACAACTGATTTCCTCCAGCTGAAAATAATGCTCACATCAGAGAGAAAACGAAGCTGAGTGTACCTCATCCACTTCAGTTGTTAAATGCCTCCTTAGCATGATTTTTCAGCTTCTGATACCTTAGATATGAATATTCTGTGATGATAGAATGTAAGACACTGGCCAATCTGTGGTGCGTATAGTTTCTCCATTTCTTTTTTGAGATTTTCCACTGATATTTTGGGGTTTTCTGTCCATCAGCTGTGTGAAAGAGGCCTTCTGTGAATGAAGAATTATTAGTACAAATCACATGGAGAATTAGAAGGGCTTTTGTACTGCCTGGAGGTAGTTCATGCCTTACCACAAAAAAGCTTCTTAATGCAATTGCCAACAATTAAAACAAGGAGGTCAACAGTTTGCAGCTTTTATTCTATCAATAGAAGACACAAAATAAACTCCCAGGATCCTTCCCTATCACAAGGGGAAGCCTGCATCTGAATGAAAGATGATTGTTGCAGACATTTTTACCTGAGTCAACCCACTCTGTCAGGGCTGGTATTTGGCAGAAATACTCTGACTGATTCTTACTGAGGCATTTCACCAGGCAAAAGTGTGAGTTAACAGAAAAAATGGGAAAGAGAAATGCTCAAGCCAGTCAGATTAGCCTGAAGGTGTAAGCTCATGTTTTCTCTTGTATTGACTTGTTATGAGAATCTGCGATCCCGTGCTACAGAAATGGGACAGTTTGAATAGGATGATGGTCTAAAATAGCTTACTAGATAATAGCAAGTTGTTTGTGCCATCCAACCTTAGGCACTGTAATTCCCATTTGGTGGCAGAGGACCATATACAACTATGATGCCTTTCTTCAGAAAATGAAGCACAGCAAAAACAAAAGAGAAGGTAAAAGACTTATGCTTAAGATGTCTATATCCCCTCCTCAAGCTTCTGTATGCTGTGGCATCAGGTTATAAGAGCTTTAAGGAAGGGATTTTGTCTTCCTTCGAGTGTAAATACTTCACCAGATGGTGAAATATTATAGACAACTGAAAGAATCTTTTGCAGTCCCATTAGGAAAAAGCAGTTGTCTCAAAATTATTATAAGCAAAAAAAAAAAGACATTTGTGAGAAGAATGTGGGCATTGCCTATCCATCACTGTCACTGAAGCAAACCTATACATACAAATCAAGTAAATGAAAGTATTAAGACAAGAACAAAGAATTATTTTCTGAACAGGAGATGCACAGTACTTAGCCTCAGGAAAAGTGAGCTTCAAGCTGTGGTGCTTCAGCTGGTGGAAATGGGTACAGGGTTCTAAGTGGCTTCCATCATCAGTATCCACTGTAAATCTGGCTGTGGTACAGCACTTGTATCCCCTGTGGCATCGTAAGTTTCATATTTGGGAAGCAGAGTTTCAAACCCTGCAATACTGTCTTAATTATAGAACTAAATGATACCAGATAGCCTGGCACATGCTCTCTGTACTCTAAGCTAATGAAACGAGAAAGTTCAAAAACAAAACTGTAGGAGCAAACATCACCAAGT